ACTATACATTTTTTGCATATGGAATGTAAAACGGACTGAATTCACGAAGTACAATTGAAAGAGCGAATCATGTTGTCAATTTATCTGCTTTAAAACTACAGCAACAACTCAATATACCACTTACATTCCGGGGTGCATTCTTAAGTGTAGTTGCGAGAGCAGTAAAAGTGTGTTTCACTTATATTTCTTACTGTTATTTGAGCATGTAGACGTGATTATAACCAGCATTGCAGTTAAAATACAAACATAACTATAGTTTCACAACTACAGTTAGGCAAGTGCAGTTTCGAATGCAGTTTTTCTGTGCTCCTTTCCACCCGGGCCCATCCGGCCGCTCCCAGCCCCACAAACAACATACACTCAACACTCCTCCAAGCCTGGCCTGAAGGTAGCCCAGGCCAGGGCGCAGGGCCGCCGAGGCCTCGACTCCAACGACGAGCAGCTCTGGTTGCTCGGTCTAGCGCTCGTCCAAAGCGAGGTCGATCACCACGTCGCCACTCACTCGCCCGACAACTGCCTGCAGTGTCAGCAAAGACGGACGACAACAACGCACAAGGCCGTGAATCTCTGAACAAAGAGTCGGATTTACTCTTTTTCTAGAAAGCAATAACGTATTTAATTAGTGAAACTAATTTTGTATTACATTTTCTTTTATTCGGATCGTCTTTTTGTTAACACGCAGTGTTAACGTTTTTCATAATATTGCCTAACTGAGATATGTTGGGTCTTGTACAGCAGTTATTATGGCTTTGTATATACCGGTTTTAGGGCCGCTCCAACCTTGTCCTATGATTTAACCTTGCTTATGCTCATTGTTTACCTCCCCCGATTTCCATCAACAAACTTTTTAAAAAACCCTCTCGAATTGCGCTTAAGTTATGGTTGCGTTCCATTGATTTCGAGAATAAAACATTAATGTAGGGGGTAAAATATTCGTTGGTTGCCAACCGCAAATACTGCTGCTTTTGCAATATCAGTCTACATCGTCTACATTGTGTTTTTATTTTGGTTCCAATTATGCCTCAATAACTGAATTCACAATTCACAAAAGCCGCGGACCAGAGATGAAGATGACAATCATTCGCCTCCTAATAAATCCAAGACAGGAAAAACCTCTTCTGCAAAAAAGTTACCTCCAATCACGCATGAGCAGAAAATAGCTATGGTGAGTTTTATGCTGAGGCATAAAAATTATGCAGTTGGTCGCATACAGGGTAAGAATGCCAACAAGGCAATGCAAAAGATGCATGATCGTCCAGCTGTAGTTCTTAACAAGGAAAAAGCAGCCCGAAGTGGGACTAAGTGGTGGAAGGTTGACTTTTATTTAACTAAAACGCTTTGCTTAACCCCAATTTCAACAGCATTTAAAGCTGTAACCTTATCTCCTACTGTCTTGGACAACCATACGAAACACTGCAAAGTCCTATGCTGTCGGCAATTACCAGAAACGGGACTACAGAACGGGGGGTGGAGCACCCGATGAATCATTCAAGTCAACAGAAATGCTCGATACCAGCGCCACTGTGAGTATCTATGAAATAATGGTGGAACGATAAGTCTCTTTCGCATTTGTTACTGTTTTTTTTTTTCTGTTTTAGAGCGAAGATATGTATTACACTGATGATTCCATCGTACATTCGATAATGAAAAATATTGGGTGGCACAATGCCTTAGGCATTGCGGGTGTTGTGGATGAACTTGATGTAAGAAGTACTACTTAAGAGTTTGTGTGCTTCATCACTGTTGAAAATTTGCTGGAAAATCTCAATGGGCTTAAGCAATTTAATTGACTTATACCTATTTGTGAGATCCCAGAGATTTTTAAACAGTAAACAAATAATGCAGCTGACGGTTTATTTTAAAGATTTTAATACTTTAACTGGATAGGACACAGGACTTCAAAATACAGAGGAAAATAAGGAAGTTTCGCTGGACACCTCTGGTGTTGGGCATGATGAATACCACTCTGGAGGTAAAGGTGATAGTGAGAATAGTAGCAAAGTGTAAGAAGTCTTCCAAGCAGTAAGCCTACCAGTTTTGTAGGTTTGGTTGCGTAAACTCCCCATCTGTTAGTATGATTATTGCTTTTCTTTTTTTTTTTTTTTCAATTGACCACCTAGGTTGTAACATTGAAAAGTCTGATTCAGAAAACAAATAAGTGTTGTTGCTTTGCCCTTCTAGAAAGGAAAGGAGGGAAAATAGCACTATAATTCTGTCTGCCCCTGTTTCTGAGTCCAGCTCTGCCAGGAAGAGTCTTCCACATGTTTTAGATTCGATTTCATCAGCTACCTATCTGTTAGTTTGATTTTTGGTTTGTTCTTTTCCAATTTAACACCTGGGTTTCTACATTGAAAAGTCTGGTTTAGGCAGCTCATAAGTGTTGTTGCTTTGCCCTTCTAGGAAGGATGGGAATAAAGGAAATAAGTCTCCCCCCTTTTCAAGTGCAAACGTTTCCCAGAAGTCAAACCCAGAAAAGCAAATGGAAAGAACTAGCACACCTCTAGAAGAAAAGCTTGACATTGTGATTGAGGTAAGAATTATTCATTTGAAGTTCAGATTCGGTGTGCTTACTGTAGCGTGCTGCTGTCACATTCTCTTTCACCTACCTGCAGGAGCTAAGAAAAAATACAAACATCATGACCACGCTGATGCAGCATTTGAAGGAAAACAGTATAATGATCTAGACGTCACCAGCTGCTGTTGAGGGGGCTTCTGAGCCTACAGTAGAACATGTTGCAAATAATGAACAAAGTCCCAGTCCTGAGGATCCTGCGGCGCAATCCCGAATTCACCCAAATAAACGCGTCATGATTGGCACCAGGAGAGCTAGCATTCACCGAAAGGATCACCAGGCTTGAATCGCAGGCCTATTAGCAATGGAAGAGAACAGGAATGAATGGCGTTAGTTGATGAAAAACGATAGCATTTACAGAGGAAACAGTAACATTGTGCACCATACCAGCTCTTGACTTAATTACCATTTGGCAGTTGAGCGCATAATGGTGCTTCCTTGTCCAGTAGCCCTGGGGCTTCATCTCGCGAGGGGGTGTGACGATAGCCACCTCTGTCCCATCCACAAATCCTATGACCCCTGGGATGTGGAACTTCTCTAAGTGCCTGCAATTTTGAACTTATCCGTTACACATAGGAGCAAGAGTATTTTAAATGAATTCTACACGCTTCGGCAAACGGGGGTGCTGGCCCAGGGTACATCATTTTATCCTACCTTTCTCGCAGCTCGTCTCTTTTCTGGCGTGTACGGAGAAACTTCACCCACCGCACCTGAACCTCTCTGAGGTTGAGGGCGTTCGTCACCTCCTCAATGTAGTGACCCACAGTAGATCGGCCGCGGCAGCACAGGCAGTTGCTGGAGACGGTCGCCTGGTATCCGCCGTGGCCATAAAAGTGCAGAACACTAAGTACCTGAAATCCAAACAAATATTTCAATAACTTTTGCTATTCCTTAGCGCAATCACAATCGAGAAAAAGTACACTTTTTGAATCTGAAGTGAATCTTCTGACACCTTGATTGAATAAGGCACTGCCAAGGGGTCGTCGTTAGGATTAAGGAAGGGCTCCAATTGCCTTACAAGCTGGAGAGCGAGACGAGTGTTGAGGCGGTAGGAGTTTTTAAACAATTGGTCGGTGATGTTGAAGGGTTGGATCAGCATTCTAATCTCCTTTCGCAAAGTCTTCCACCAATGCAGCCTGGTGATCTGCAATGTGAGAGAGTAAAATTATTGGCTGAGCGATTAGCGAAGCCTATTACTCCAGTGATGATCAAAAAGTTTCACGTCTGTCTGTCTGTCTGTCTGTCTGTGCGCACGATAACTCCTGCTGACTGAAAATAACTGAGCTTTTGGTATGAGGTAAGTGTTTGTGCATATTGAGAGTCTGTACGCCTTGTGATACGCAGTTTTAGTTGTTAAGGGGACATCCTAGTGTAGCACGCCTAAAAATACGTGTTTTTTGCGATTTTTTCTTAAGAAGCAAACGGAAGCAACAGCGTAAAAACTAGGTTTTCTACATAAAAGTACACACCTTTCTCTGTCCATAACTGCTAAAAAGTTGACCAACGCCTCACTCATACCGGAGAAACGGTCCGCGAGAAAACACGCGTCGTGAATTTCGTGGACGAATGGCGTGCACGATAACTGCCAAACGAATGGTCCGATCAAGCTCAAATTTTATCTGCGTGCTCTCAGATAGTGTGGCTATGGCATGAACCTCCAGTTTTGGCCTCAGTCAACTAGAACTCTGTCAAAAAAAAATCGTAAAGTTGAAATTTTACCTATCTTTTTGAAACTAGAAGTTTAGTGTGATCAAAAAAATACACCCAGAAAAAGGTTTCCTTGATTTAAGGTCAAAAATTTCTTTAATTTCTGGCTTTGAATTATTTCCTTGTTTTAAAGCTATTTCTTTAAATCTATGGCGTGGCTTTAAATTGAGCGGCACCAGTAGTAGGAATATCTTTCTTTAGTCTAATGTATCCCCCGTCCTTGCTCTGATACATTCATCTCTCTCTCACCCGTATCTCCGTAGTGAGTGCGAGAGAGACCGTCTGACGAGGCGCGCTCAGACGTTCACGCCTCTCTCTTTCTCTCTCACACACGCACGCGCACGCACGCACGCACGCACGCACGCACGCACGCACGCACGCACACACACACACGTGCGCACACACACACGTGCGCACACACACACGTGCGCACACACACACACGCACGCGCGCACGCGCGCCCGCACACACACACACGCACGCGCAGCGCACGCACGCGCACGCACGCGCGCACACACACACACACTGAGAGGAAGCGAGACAGCCTCCGCTAGCTGCCGGCACCGGGCCGGGCAGCCGCCGCCCGGCCGCCTCGGCCGCCTGTGGCCTGTGTTCCCCCTCTCCGCCTGGCTGCGGCTCATTGGCTCCAGCCGCTAGCCCTCTCGCCCCTCCCCTCTCCTGCCGCGTCAGTTGTGTTTGTGCTGCGGTCAGCTACGGTACGATGAGTGCGTCGCTGGACCAAGTCGGGAAACACCTGCAGGATTGGGGCTTTCCACAACTGGTGCCTATCTTCAAAGGTGAGTACTGCGTCAGTGCTATTGTGCCGAGTGTATATCTTTCGAGGCAAGTCGATTTCAAAATAAAATTTGTGGCCGCTTCACCTTCCATCCATTTTTCATGGTCGGGGCCGACGGGGTCAGGTTATTGTTTATCTTCCACTAACTTTTGTCCTCCCCTTCCTACCATTTTAGATTATTCATGTAAACCCGCATCATCAAATAAATACTCGTGGAATGTGTCCGGGCCCGCGCAGTCGAGACGACTCGGGTAAATACGGATGAGCGTGTCAGCGGATCGGGCGCCTTTGCATACTCCGGGTTTGCTGTTCTTATTTGCGCTCGGCGTCCTTGAAATGTTCTACTTTAACCCAAAATCTCTGGCTTTCTGAATAAAGCATTTCTGCATAACCCAAGTATGCGGGAAATAACAAACCGGAAATCACAATACTGTAACGTGGTGACTTCCGTTTTCTTATTCCCCGCCTTCTTCTGCATTTCAGCTTTCCGGAAATGATTTATTCGTAGCAACCTATAGAGCCTCCTACCGGCGCACGATGTGTTTCACGCCGGTATCCTCCTTTGCTAAATTCGCAGCGGCATGGGCCTCTGCGAGCCCCCTTTTTTCTCTCCCACATAATAAGGAGATTGGGGGAGGGGGTGGGGGGGATAAGCAACCCATGTGGTTCTGTAATCGAAAAGTGTTTTTGTCATCTATGTTCTTGTGTTGCTTAGGTACTTTTTTGACCTGTATTCCACTGTATTTGTGAGTGTATATTTTGTACATGTATATTTTGTGTATATTTGTCGAGTCGACCCTGCTCAAGTAGGTTTTTGTCACCCGGCAAAGATCTCTCCCCCCCCCCCTAATATCGTTTGCGCTCACGAGGAAGTTACGCCTTTTCCCCATCGTCTTTCGCAGCGGCTA